GTTTTAGGATTTGATGAAGAATATATATCCCAACTCCCAAGCGTTGTTTCATGCAACATAGTTAGGGGTGGTAATTTCCGACACGATACGATACGAATTTAACACGAAATTAATGGGTTTGAGTTGAGGTTTCGCGGGTTCGGGTCAGAATCAGGTCGAATTCGATGAATCCGAAAAGCAAACAGGTCGAATTCGGGTCACCTACGTAAAATAATTTAAAATTTTAAAAATAATTAAAAAATAATGATCCGAAACCCGTTTACGAATTAAAAATAATTTAATAAACATAAAAATTATTTTATCTAACTAAACTAAGTTTTTTTTTTCTCAAAGGCATTAATCACTTAATCCTAAATGAATTTGTTTAACATGTGTTATATTTGGACAAATAATGTATTATATTATTTTTTACTTTTATACTATTTTAATTTATTTTATATTTGGTTTGGAATAAAACACGTTTACGGTGTTTTAATTTATTTTAAATTTGGTTTGCGATTATTTATTTAAATTTTTATTACTTGATTATGTAATTAGTCTTGTGCGAAATTGGTTTTATTAGAAATTATAGTGGTAAATTAATAAATTAAAATTAAGTTTCGAGTCATTTCTGGTCGACTCCCAACCCGTTAACTTGAAATTTTTGGGTTCGGGTCATGTGTCATGACCCGTTTCGGATTGACGGGTCAAGTTCGTGTCATCAGGTTTTCTGTTATACCTAGATTCCAACCCGATTTGGACCCTAAACATAGTGACCTTTTGTGTGTGTGTGTGTTGGGGGGGGGGGGGGGGAAATGAAACTTTTATAATTATCCTGAAGGGAAAAAAAATCTGAAAAAGGAGAAATGTTGATGGGGAATCCAACCCCAAATCTCTAGCCCCTAAAGAGCCGTATAGTGCATATACTAGTCGAGAATTTGCAAAATATGAAAGAAAAGATCATCTCCAAATCCCCCTTTAAACTTGTTTTCTTCCCTCTCTCATTCAAGAATTAAAAGATTTTCTCAGACAATTACAGGTTCTATTTATATGCTAAAACCTATCGGGACTGGTTAGAAATTTCTGAAAATTGTTATATGCATGATTTAAATTTCAATATTTTGCTATCTAATACTAGAAAAAAAAATTTTTGTTCTTCTTTGGTTTTACACAATTAATTAATGGGAGGATCCACTTTTTATTATTATCCTTTTTTTTGGGGTTACATTCCCCCCTCCCTCCTTAGAGATTCTCTTTTGGACAACAATAGAAAAATAAAAACATAATTTTAGGGTTGTTACACAGGAGCCCCCACTGGTGGTACAATACTGCAACTTTCTGAGTCGCATATTGTTTATCTAGACCACGATAAACTGCTACCTCCAAGACTAGATCCATTTGATAGTCAATCAATTGCTGTCCAAAATCAGTGCGACCTATAAAACTTTCTCCGCCCAGAATTGATAACCCTACTTCTCATGATGCGTGGGAGGGGCACTTCAAATTCATAAGCTAAAACCTTGTCCTTGATGAGATTTACTTTTTGCATTGTTGTTTATCAGTAGATTAAATCCACAAGTGTCCCTTTCCACCATTCCATAATTTCAGTGCTCATGCCACCACCTGGGTCTTGTTTGAATCGCTATTTTTTTAGAGTTTTGATAAAAAAAATATTGTAATAATTTAATATATATCAAATAAAAACAAATGATTGAAAAATTTGTTCGCCAAAAATGCAAAAGTTTTTCTTAAACAACTTAAAAATTTTCTTCTCTAGAAAAAAGTTTAAAGTGGGTAAAGATTCCCTAAAGCCTGCTTATAAATGGGCCTTGAGGATTCTAGAACCCAATCTTTAGATGAGATGATTGGTCCTTTAGCCTTTTAAGACCAAATTTTTCTTGTTCCGGTTTTGGTACGACCACCATTAAATTGGAATTCTACAACTTCATTGACAACTCATGTGTTCTTTACCCTAATTTTGTATGATGGGACACCTTTAAATGGATTTACCGGTTGGAAATATGGTACAATTGTTGTACATTTTATATGATTTGATGTATATTTATATTTCTTTGTCACATACCTAAATTTTGTTCTTGTAAGCCAACACAATAAATTAATACAACTACAATTCCCCTTTTGACCTTTCGAAGGTTCGACTTTCTTGTTCTTTCTTGCCCATTCTTCAGGTTCTTAACTTCTCGTTCTTCTTTGTAGAACATGACTTCGTTGTTATTATCGTTCTGTATGAATCTTTTCTTTATTATTATTATTATTATTATTATTGTTTTAAAGGTATAAATACTTGTTGCGAGTTTTAGCAACAAAATTCTCTCAACTCATTTTTTAATATCACGTACATTATATCGCTGCAAAAACTTTAAAAACTTGCAATCCAAATAGAGTGGACCGAGTGAATGAAGTTAAATAAATTGAACAAGAAACTATGCATATTCAATTACTAGAATCTGCATCACCAAAAGAAGAAGTGACGATTTCATCACCTCCTTTGCTGTATAAACATTGTGACATTCCATATCTACATAGTTCAGTGAAAGTGTCGTGACAGATAAATTCTTCATTCGGCAAGTTGTGTATACTTGATTCTTTTTTCCAATTGTAAAGACCAAATTTAATTACAAATTCTTTATGCACAACACACACACACACACACACTTAAGGTCCCTATAGCCAGTTGAAATTGATAAAGAGAGTGAAAAGGCTCCACATTTGATTGATCATTCAGGTCATTGCCGTTGAATAAATTAATTCTATGGCTTGAGGCATAAGACTTGCTCCTTGTGCATTGGGTGATCAGAAAGCAAGCCTCACAATCAAAGAAGTCAAGAAACAAAGAATAGACATTTGTTGTTAGTATATTCATAGAAACAGAATTGTTCAACTTTCTAAGTTCTAACCTACTTTGAAAATTTCTTACAAGTTTTCCAAAACTCCGGTTGCATTTGGAACTGTACAGGACATGCATAACCAAATATTTTGTGGATGATCAAGTAATGTAGACTCTAGCTTTCCTCCAAATTTGTAAACAATCAGTCCTTACTAAAAGCAAGTTATCGACTAGAGACATGCAGTCCTGTATAATCAGCACAAACCTCAATCTTGAAATGTATATGGTTCCTTCAATTCTATCTCAAACTTAGAAAAGCTGAACTTGATATTCTCCTTCTCCAAAAAATAAAAAAAAAATAAATAATATATATAAACATGAAAATAAAAACAAAAATAGAACTCCTCCTTCTCCAGTTGAAAACTTCTTGAATTTTCTCTAATGTTGGTTGTAATTATTTGACAATCGATCCAAATTACTTGCAATACTATGAAGATTCGCGCTGGAGCTAGTATATTACTGTATTTGTTAAAGCCTGGTGGCCTACGACTGTTTAGAGATTGCTTGTGAAGAACGTGTGTGGAATACTGTGAAAGTCGTTGGTAGATGGGAAAATATTACTTAGAATGAGCCATCACCTTAAGTAAGAGTTAGACACGATCAAACTTGTAAACCCAGGCCCCCAAGCTGCATGTTCTGCTATCCAACAGCCACTGGTGTACTTGCAACTTTGCCGATGAATTATGACAGCAATACGTGAACTTCGGGGCGATTTGCTGCGTGATCCAACTTGCAAACTTCTTTTGGCAGATTTTCATCGAAACATCACCCAAAGAAAAAGAAAATAGATATATTCCTTTGCCAGTCTGTTCAACAATTTATGGCTGGTTCTTAGATTAAGAGTTGTAGGCTTGGAATTTTTTTTTTTTTTTTTGGTGTGTGGTTTGCCTGAGATGAATGATACATTCGTCATTTTATAACACTTAACTGTTTATTACATATTCAAGCATCCCTTTGAAGCAGGAAATAAAACTTAAGGCAATTGCAAGATTTCCGTCACAACCATTGTGACCTACAAGGTTTTGTAACACTGAAACTTCGAAGAGAATTAACAACTTTTCAAGATCTTTCGGTTTAATTGGATGAGCTTGGTAGTAAGTTACTAATCGCTGGTGCTCCTGGCAAATTAGAGCAATTGCTGGTTAGGAAAGTCAAACACAGAAGGTATTAACTCATTTAGCTAAGAGGATATATATGACTAATGACTGCCACTAAACAATCATAATTTACAATGTACAAATTCGGTTAATGAATCATTTGGCCGACTCAAATAACACAGGCGAGGGATGGTTATCTCGCAGAAACGAAGAACTTGTTCTCCTGAATAACTTCAATGAAGTGGATGGACTCCAAGTCTCCAACAGAGTTTACATGTTATCCACACAAATATGTAAGAAATTTGGATCGATCAGTTAGATAATCTTCGTTTGTGTTACGGGGAAAATATCCAGATCCGGCCTCCTTGATATGAACACGGTATGGTTGACCATTAATATGTATCGTCCTAACATCAAAATCCAGAAGGTTCACAAGATTCAAAAACTGCATTCATGAGATCAGCCAAATTGGAACAGGCCATGAGAAGAAGCTGACACATTTTAAAGGAAGACACAATTGGCGGTTTGATAGAATATTTCGAGACATATAGCAAAAGCAAGGTCTAGAGAAGGTGACAACAAAGGTGGAAAGATTGACAAAAAAAAATTCTCAGCATATGATCCCTAATGACGACGTGAAGGTGACAAGAATCACTTCCCTTTTTTTCTTTGAATCGAGAATCACTTCTTTTGGAAACACTTTTCCTATCAGAAGTTTAATGACACATTGTCTTTAGGCCGTATATAGGGCCAAAATTATCTTAGTAAGTAACCTAAATATGAAACGGTAGACAAATATTCAGGTGTCTCCACGTGGACCCACAATTTGAGTCTTGTAGGTATTTTTGCATTTGAAAGTTGTTGGGTTAAGTTATCAATATTTGCATGTTAACGTGGCGTATAATCTTACGTTCCATGTAGCTGTATCAACCCAAGAAAACCTGCAAGGGAAGCAGAGGTTTGAATATAAATATGTACCATGCACAAAGAGGTAGTTGCAAACTGATAAACGGCCTCATTCTTTCATTAGACAACAGTCAATCTACCTTCATCTTACCCCCTTTCTAATCCTTATAAGCCTTGTGATTGTTGCAGAAATATCTGATTCCAAGTTTCTTCACAAAAATCATTAGCGAAAAAAATAACAAAAACCAACCTGACGAATGGAGTCTGCTCTTTCCGAGCTCGAAGGGACCCTTGTAAAGGATCCTGATCCATTTTCCTACTTCATGTTAGTAGCTTTCGAGGCATCAAGCATAATTCGATTTGCTTTCTTGCTAATTTTATGGCCAGTTATCCGTTTGCTGGAGATTTGGGGACAAAGAGATGCGGGCCTAAAGTTGATGATTTTTGTTGCCACGGCTGGGGTGCCTATATCCGAGATCGAAGCCGTGGCAAGGGCAGTGTTGCCCAAGTTTTATTTTGATGACATTGATATGGATGCTTGGAAGGTCTTCAGCTCCTATGACAAGAGAATTGTGGTGACTAAAACCCCAAGGATTATGGTGGAGAGGTTTGTGAAAGAGCATTTGCGAGCTGATGATGTTATTGGGAGTGAACTTTCGGTCAATCGGTTTGGATGGGCTACTGGTTTCATCAAAGACGGTTTTGATTCAATCTCCGACCGCGTTTCTGAATTATTCGAAGATGAACAACAACCTAGTTTGGGCCTAGGAAGGACAGAATATTCTGGCTCTGAATTCTTACACTCGTGCAAGGTTGGTGAATACAAAATTTCTAAACTTAGTTTCTTCATCACCTATCAGAACTATTTATTATAGTCAGACCATATCTGAGTTGAACTGGAAGAAAAAAGGGGTGGGGGACGTTACTTGCATAATAGTTAAATAACTTTACTTTTTGCTCACGTATGTGCTAAAATTTACTGGACAATGGCTTGTAAACAGGAACAATCTCATCCGCGAATCACCAGCAACGAGAAACATGACCGCCAGTTCATCCGCCCACTGCCAGTGATCTTCCACGATGGCCGGCTAGTGAAGCGGCCAACACCATCAACTGCCCTCCTAATTCTCTTATGGATTCCTCTGGGAATCATTCTCGCTGCAATTCGCATTGTCGTTGGCCTCATGCTTCCCATGAAATCGATTCAACGTATGGCTCCTGTATTCGGTGGCAAAGTGATGGTGAAAGGAAAACCACCTCCGCCGCCATCTGGCTCCACCTCTGGAGTGCTATTTGTCTGCACGCACCGAACCTTAATGGACCCCGTCGTCCTCTCCGCCGTCCTCCATCGTAGAATTCCAGCAGTAACATACTCCATTTCTCGCTTTACCGAGATCTTATCCCCTATTCCAACTGTGCGCTTGACGAGAACCCGAGACATAGATGCTGAAAAGATTAAACAACAACTGGAAAAGGGAGATTTGGTCGTCTGCCCTGAAGGAACAACGTGTAGAGAACCCTTTCTATTGAGGTTCAGCAAGCTTTTCGCAGAACTAACCGACCGAATAGTTCCAGTGGCCATGAACTATAGGGTTGGGTTTTTCCATGCAACCACTGCTAGGGGTTGGAAAGCTTTGGACCCCATATTTTTCTTCATGAATCCCAGACCAATTTATGAGGTAACATTTTTAAATCAGCTCCCTGTGGAAGCAACTTGCTCTTCAGGTAAGAGCCCACATGATGTTGCTAATTATGTTCAGAGGATCTTGGCTGCCACACTTGGTTTCGAGTGTACGAATTTCACCCGCAGGGATAAATACAGGGTTCTTGCTGGCAACGATGGGATAGTTTCACAAACATCCACTGCCGAAAGCCTCAAGAAATTGATGAGCGGATTCAAGCAGGTTGTGGGTACTTTTAAGCCTTTCATTAACTGAAAACTGGGCTCGCTCGTTATTGTAAATTTTTGTTTACATACTATATTCTTACCCTCAATTTATCCTGTTTTGTACAAAAAGCGAGGTCTGTATTCTTTATCTTTTTTGTTTGAGCAATTTCTCTTTTGTACTGGATTTTTTTCGCTGAAGTGTTGAATAATGTACTAGAATGACTGATGTTACTGGTAATGCTAATTATTCAGTTGGGATATAAATATATTTTTATTTATTTATTTTTATCTTTTTGTCGCAGTTCTGTTAAATATATATGGTGGAGTTTACCTTTACAGCCCCAGCTGAGCTTTTAACGAATTTTTAGAATCTTTAACCTTCTTATTAGAGGTAAACAATTCTCACTGAGATCATAAGATCCCACCCCTCCACTGTTTGGAAAAAAAAAAAAAAAGAGTTCATAAGAATTTTTAATTAACCACCATAATTACGGAGATTATGTCTTGGACCCCTATTATACCACACGAGATACTCAGTGTCACTTTTTTTAGTGTTACTTCAGTGTCATTTTTATATTTGTGTCAAGTGTCATGTTTATTTAATTTGTCATGTGCTATTTATTTAATTTCTTCTACCATCACGTGATAAGTAGAATTGGCACTGGATTTGGCACCGAATAGTGGCATAGAGGATCCCAACTGCTATTATACAAGGTAAAACTTTGTCTTGGTGCCTACTACAGAATTGCGAAAACCTGATGTATATAAAGGAAGTTAAGAGCTCTTAACATTGCTAAAAATAAAATAAAATAAAGAAGATTCAAAGTTTATGGAAAACTAGTGTCTGCTCTTGATTGTTTACTTGTTTAAGAAATATGACAAATATTAACGCTCCTGGCTATCAGAAGCACTGAGCAACTACCGGCCCTTGTATCCCCTTTTTTTTTTTTTAATATGCGATGATGTGAAGCAATTACTTTAGGTTTCTGCAGCAAAGTATTGTTTTTTTTTTTTTTTTGAACTTCAGCACCGAAGTTTTCAAGCATTATTATTATTATTATCTTTTCCTGTAGCTATTGTACTTTATTAAATTGATCTGCAACTCAACTTCCCTGCAGTATCTATTCGTCAAAGATCATGGACGCAAGAGAAGCGAAAAATACAAAAGCATTGGCTGCCTGATTGTGCTTCGAAGCCCTTTAATACCTGTCTTCAGATTCAAAAGTGTCAATGAACGAACATGAGATCGCAACCTCTCAAGCACTTCCTTTCAGGAAGCTCACATCTACTTCCAGATCGAAGGCATCAGAGGTGCCAGAGCTCCTGTTAGGCTTCTTTCACTTCAGGAGATATCCGTACGTCTTGATGAGAGTCCCTTGCAATAATGAAAACTGCATGCATGCATGCAGGCCCCCTAGGATTTTAGGAGTTCTTCTACAATCAAATCTTGATTTCTTGGTGTAAATAAATATAAAGATTTACATTCCTATTTTTCTAAATATAAATATGATATATAAATGTCGTTACTAGCTAGTAGCATACAGCTGCTACATGGTAGAAGCAGCCACCTATTAAAGGTAAAATTTTCACGCCATTATACAATAATTATAAGTCCAATTATTGCCACCTCTATAAAATATCGGTGCAAGAATGGTAACATGGTGAATTTCTCACATAAAACTCCCCTCCCTCCACCAGTCACTTGTTCTCTCTACAAGGTTATTCCATTAAAAGTGACATCGGGCTTGATCCCATCCCCTCCTTTGTTTTTTTTTTTTCCTCTTTATGTAGGATGTGCATGAAATGGCTGCTTCATAAAATAAGTATCCTGCAGCATGTCTTGGTGTCTTTTTCCCTTTTTTCATTTTTCAGTGAACTTGATGATAATGATCGGGGTGATCGCGCCAAAGTTAAACCAAAAAAAGTACGTTTTAAGAAGAAAATTTTGTGCCGGATCGTGATTTGTGAGCCTTTTCCGTTGCTAGAAATATACTAAGATACTTGTGAAATTGAGGCCGTAATTCGTTTGACTAAATATCTGCTATGTATGATGCGATGCGGGTGGAATCCTTCGGACAACGCACAATCCACAACATGATAGCCTGACACGTACTTCAGGATGTCTTTGCGTGGCGTACCATTCTTCGAATCCATGTGGTGATGTTACAATGGGCCTCAGTCAAGTGAGACCCCGTAAGTCCCGTTGGCGCCTTTCTTATAGTCGGTTAAAAAAAAAATAGTGAAATATGATGGTTACCTTTGCAGTTTCCATATCAAGATTTCTTTCAACCATTGCTAAAGGCCTCTCAAAAGCTTTCTTAGTTAGCAGGGGAGAAGAGAAGACAGAAAACGGAAGTACGACAGCAAAACAGTTTAAGCACCAGAATGAATTATTAACCAGCAGTTCACGTTGCTAACTATCTTGATAGTATAACATATTGTACAAAATCCGCGCCTGCTAGATTCTAGGGACCAATATACCTCCGTCTGTAGTGGGATTATGCAGTCACCCAAATGGATTTCTTTACGTACAAGACAAAAGTGAAAATTTTTTTTAAAAAAATCAATAAATTGTTAATTAGATTAGAATCCTTCATCACTTAGCATTTGTGTATATGCACATATGGCCTCAAAAAATAATATTGCTTGTGTTTGGATAGAAAGTTATTTTGAAAAAAATAATATCATAATATTTTATATAATATGATATACGTAAGATGAAAGAGTAATTAAGAAAAATAAAGAGTGGATTGAATATGACAAAAAAATTATTTACTCAAATTATAACAAAAAATTATTTACGATTCCGTTTGGATTAACAGTTTTTATGGGTGTTTTTGAAATATTTTACTGTATCGATGTAGGTGAAAAATTTTTACTATAGATGTTTTTAATGGTGTTTTTGAAATATTTTTAAAATTTAAAATTTTAATGAAAAGTTTTTATAATTTTATAAAATCTTACAACCACACACTACTACTCCAACCTTCCCCCCGTCCTCCCTCCTCCTCACCCTCTTCCGCCACCTCCCTCCCCCTCCTCCCCTCTCTGGTCGTGACTAGAAAATGATTGCCACTTGCAATCTGAGAAGGGGAGAGGGGGAGGGGGCAGCGGGAGAGACGTGAGGAGGAAAGATGAGGGAAAGGGATGGGAGAAAAAGGAAGAAGGGAGAAGAAGAAAAAGAGGAGAAAGGGGAAGGGAAGGAGGGAGGAGAGAAGAGAAGGGGCGGCAGGTGATGGTGTGATTTTTTTTATGGTTGATAGTGGTGGAGGTATATATTTTTTTGTATATTTGAAATTGTTTTTGATATATTGTATAAATGTACTATTTTAAAATTATTTTTATTTATATATTACCGTAACATTGTATATGAAAATTTTATTTTTCAAAAATTGAGCAGTCCAAACGAATACATTTGGGTTTGTTTTAGAAGTAACGTAAACAATCATGAAGATGACTTCCGGTCAAACCGTTGAGTCAATGTTAAAAGATATATTTTAGGTGATCTAATGGAGAGAAAATGAGGTTATACTTGTAAGCAACGGCACTGCGTGTATAGCCCACGCTCTGCATATTCTTTATGCGAAACTTTTTGGGGGGATTATTTTTCTCCTAGAGTTTTCTTTCACAAGTCACAAATGAAGAACGTCTCGAGTCATCAACATACAAGAATTAGCTCATGACGTAGAATCCAAATTTTAGAATTCTAATACTGTAATAATTAGTGCGTGCAGAGTTACAGAATTAATACTTTTTGACAACTTTTAAGGTTATAGAATCCAAATTTTAGGGTTTTGATAATACTTTTTCGATAAATTTGTGCTCTAATCTTTTGACTGCAAAAATGCTTCGGACTAACTTCGTAGTCTGGCTCTCGATACCAATTGTCAGAATTCTAAATTTATAGATTAGATGGATGAGTTGATTTAAAATATGTCAACAAATCCAGTACTGTTCCAAATCGAATTTGTTCTCATTTGATTTTATAGTGTTGCTTCGCTCTTCTTAGTGCTTTCCGGTCAGCATCATAAACTATATGAAGTTTTATATAAAAAAGAGAATTAGAAAAAAAAAAAATCAAGGTATCAGAATAATCACGCGGTTTGGTTGCCTATCTTGGTTTCTCCTTTTTGGGTTAAATCGATAACTTAATTATTTCATTCTCTGTTCCTTTTCTTTTTTTTTCCCCCTTTTAATGAACATAAAGACAAGGTTGACCCTAACCTATGTGCTCCTCCTCGTTAACAACCGGATGTTTACTACTTATATTAGGAGAATGTTCACTGTCACAATCTTTCCTTGTCCATATATCTAATTAACACCGTGCCAAATGGAGAGCATATTATTTGAAATAATTATTATATCATTTTTTATGATGTGATGTGATATATGTGAGATAAAAAGGTGATTGAAAAATATGTTTATGATGCAAACGAAATATTATTTTGAAAAATTTTGCTGTCCAAACAAACCTGTTAACATAAATCCTTAGTTATATGCGATTTCTTTCTCTCTTTTTTTTTTCACTTTTCGCTGGATGCTAGATGCATTAACAAACGTATTGAACAAGTTCAGAAATCAATTTTACAGCATATGTGATTAATTGTCCAAAATTCATAGCATTCACTGTAACTAACTAATCACAAACTTTTTATTTGAAAAACAAAATCGAAACTGCTTTTTCTGATATATGCTTTCTTTGTGATTTGTCAATCTCGGATAACTTGAATCCATCTGTTAATTTGACGTTTAATAGTTGTATTGAATTGAAGGAGCGAGAATTAATATCTTAGGAGTATAAATCAATGAAATGCCGGAATATGCTATAGGACTGAAAAGTCACCATCAAAGCTGTGAGTCACGAGTCACGAGTCACCACCACCAACTAAGCATGACGGGCCCATGGATCCAATTCCATCCCCAAGGACGCATAACAATGAGGCTTGCGATCCAATCCATGTAGCGACAATTGGCGTTGGACAAGGACGACGACGACTGACTAAAGCCACCCATAGCCACGTTTCGAATTATGGGCTTCGCTCTATTTTGCTTTTTCTTTTTTTTTTTTTCTAGTATTAATGCACTCCTCCTGGTAAAACAAAAAGGAAAAACATTAAAACTGGCCCCTTTTTTGGCTGTGTGCTCGCGTGTGCGTTTGTACACCTAGACAATTTGTCCAGTGAAATGGGTGTGTTTGGATAGATAATTATCTTAAATATTATATTACTTACATTATAAATATATTTATTAATTAACTTTTGTGTTTTTAATTATTTTTTGTGGTCATATACATCATATTAAAGAAAGTGTTATAATAATTTTTTGAAATAATATTTTTTAAAAAATTTGTAAATGATTTTTGCTATTTGATTCATGCAAGGAAACAACAAAATTTTCTATCAAATTTTGAAGGGCAAAAGCTTTATTTCCATACTTTTCCAAAAAAAAAAAAAAAAGGTACCATTTTAATATGCATACTGTAAATCCTGAATTCAAATAATCGTTAAAGCAATACAATATTTAGAAACTGACGTTGTTTACTCTACTTCTGCTTTAGAAAAAAATTTGTGTGAATACCTGTGCTACGCACGGTACTGACATTATTGAAAAAATTTAAAATAAAATGATGAATAAAAAACTTAAAAAATTATACCAACACAATTAAAATGTAATACCTGTCTAACAATAGTTTGAAATATGATAGAATATGTATATCATTTAAGAACTGCCTTTCTGAAAAAAATAATAGAAATTTATATTACAAAATAAATGATATATGAATAAAATGAATGTAATTGAATGTTGTTAAAATGAAATACTTACAAATATTATGCATTCGATTTGATAATCTTGCATGAAGATGCGAACACTCTTCACACCAATCAACTTTTAGTACAAAAGTCAAAATTGGTGATTTAATTAATTCTGTTGAATTTTGTAGAGTGCGTACTGCAAATGAAAATGCACGATCTTTACATGAATTGATTCGTTGATTGAATAACTTATCACAATTTTCTTGAAAATTAAGTACGTACGAAATTCAAAATTATTGTATTTTTTTACATAGTTTATAAATAGTATTATAAAAAATATATATATCAAGAAATTCTACCCTCCTTTGTAATTCTCTGAGATAAGCAGTATCATAACTAAATACGAATCGTGTATGTCTGTCTTGTAAATTAAGATGCATGTTACCACTGGAATCCCTGATTGGTATGTTAACATTGTACCTGTTTTGACAAATAAAATGTTATATACAATACAGAAAAAATATGTTGAAATTAAAAGTACATGAAATTAATTACCTAACAACAGTGTCGACGACGTTATTACAATACAAACCAAAGTGATAAAGAATCAGATAATGACAATCTTTTTGTGATAAAAAACATTAACTCTTTTGGCCTAAAGGTACAGAAACTGTCATCATGACAATATCAACCACTATA